TTCTGCCACCGTTCAGTAGGTGTTCTGTAGGAGTTGTTCCATGTGTGCATGTATTTCTGGTGTATCTGTGGTGAGGAAGGTGATCTTCGCGTCTTACTCTTCCGCCATCTTCCCGGAAGCTCCCGTCCCTATTCTTTTGTCTCTGTTTTTTCTTTCGCCCTACCCAGGTACGTGGGGAGTTTCTTGCCTTTTGGGAAGTCTGAGGTCTTCTGCCAGCGTTCAGTAGGTGTTCTGTAGGAGTTGTTCCACGTGTAGATGGTGGAAGGTGATCTCTACGTTTTACTCCTCTGCCATCTTGAAGGTCTCCTGTCAGTCCTCATAATTCTTAACGTTCCTTCTCCTTTCACTTTCTTCCTCAGTTCTTCCTGCTTCACACCAGCACACTAACCTGTTCTCTGGCTAGAGTCTAGTTGCTATTCACCAAATTTCCCACCACTTCCATACTCACTTCCAGATACACATGCGTCTTTGTATATATGGCTTGTTCAGTGTGGTGCCTTTCCTATTTCCCTTACTCTCCCTACCCAACCCCTAAGTGACCGAGGAAGTTCAAGACTAACATAAATGCTATTTCTCCCATGAAACCTTTGCCATTTTTATCAGCTGGAGTTATTCTTTTTCTTCCTGGAGCGCTTATAGCATTGGTAGTTGTATTATAGCAGTAATCATATACTGCTTGTCTTTTTCTTCTCTAGTGGATTTTTCTTCACACTGGATTTTAAATCCTTAAAATGATAGTTATGACAACATCTCTCATTTAGCAAATGTTTTCTACCCACTGTAGTCCTTACATTATTGATTTTTATCCCTGGAGCAAGAAATAATACCATGACTATCTGAACCTCTCAGGTGAGTCAATTTACTGAACATTACCCAGCTAACTGGTAGAGCCAAGGTTTCAGCACAGGTCCATCCATCTAAACCCAGCCCAAATTTGTAACCACTATGCCAGGGGCCAGGGATAATGACCTATTCACCTTCAGGACTTCTAGTGTGTAATACACTGATTTTACTATTATAAATTTTTTTCTTCCTTATTATTTATTTTACATGTTTTCAGAATTTCAATTTTCTTGTTACTTTAATCTCTTTTCTCATTTATTTGAGAACTGCACGCATATTAAAATTCTTAATAAGGAAGATTTTAAACCTTCTTTACTTCATTACAAAATTCAAACAATCAAATATATTCCATTTCTACTGAATTATGCAGAGTGAAACAGATATTTGATTTCACTAAAGGCAGGTTAAAATTTTTATATATATTGAGAAATAATTATCTATTTCATAAAGGCCATAATAAAGACTTAAGGTATGTCAAATAAAATAGGATTCTGGTGAAAACAAAGAAACACAACAATTTGATTGATTCTTTAGCTGCTGAGTTGCTGAATTGCTGTACTCATCTCTTTTCCATGTTGGTAGTACCAGTGCCACACTCAGAAAAATGTGTTTAGGTTCTTGTACCTCCTTCTCCTCATTCTTGTCATCAAATAATATTAAGTATCCATAAGATACACATCTCATTAAATGGACACAGTAGGTGTATGCTGAATTAATTATTAGGTGATTTAGTTCCTATTAATTAATTGAGTTTTGAAAGTCATATTTTGCTCTTTGACTTAAAATTAAAATGGCATTAATAATACACAAATATAAGTTTTATACTTCCCTGAGGGTGATTCTTTTCTAAAACACTTTCTCTTCTTTCCATTCCTCTTTCACACACAGTTTCTTTTTTTCTATTCCCTTATTTGGTGGGGGTTAGAGGGTGGGCAGGTCTTTCTTACAGTTTGCACATACAGCCGTCACTTTTGGAATTCCACTGTAGAGAAATATTTTATCGGAGATCCCAAACCACTTTCATCAGTGGTAATGTACAATTGAAATGAAAAAAATTCCATATGAATATGTCAGAACATATAAAGGAAATTACTTAGCATGGCATTCGGGGTCTTCCGTATTTTGTCCCTATGTTCATTTATGGTCTGATCTCTTATTTCCTCTTTCATGGTCAGCCATAATACAGGAGATAGCAGAATTAAACCCAGTGGTGTGCAAAGCAGAAGTGGCAAAGTGTGATCACCAATGGGTAGTTTATGTAAGACATCAGAGCCTATTACTTGCTACGCGAACAAACAGCACTAACACCAGATAAATGTGTCTATATTGGATTCCCCTGAAAGCAGATCCTGAGACTGGGGCCTTTATTCAGGTTATTTATTTGAGAGGCACTTCCAAGAAGCAAGTGTAAAAGAATATCAAGCATAAGAGAACAAGCAGGGAAGGAGGAAAGGATACGCGATTGAGGTCATCACTATAGGCAACAGTTGCTTAAGGACCTCTGAGAAGTGACAGAATGCCTCCCAGAATTGTCTGACCAATAGATGGAAGCTGGGAATTTTATCCAGTAGCTCCCGTACCCATTGGTTGAGGGTTGCTCCCAGTAGTATTGACTCTCTAGAACTTTGAGGCTGTTTGTGCTTGAGCTGAGAATCTCACAGAGACTTGGAGCAGGCCCTGAGAAAGAATAACAAAAAGAAGCATGGAATGCACTCGAGGTGGGATGTCTTTGGAGGACGTGGAACTGTCCCCACCCCGCAGCAACACTTGAAATCAGAGACTGGTCCAGTGGATGAGATGTAAAGTACCAAAGGCCTCTAATGTAGCCTATAATCATAGCTATGAATGTAATGGTAAATGATCAGGAATCAGTAAGAGAGAGAATCTTGTGAGAAAACTGTGGGTTGGTTGCATTGATTGTGCTGTTTGTTTGCATGGGTTGAAGATGCTTTCAAAGGGAAGGATATTTCCGTGCTTGCTGATGGTTTGCTATCTCTTAAGCGTATCACTCATGTCTAGCACAAGTCACCAATTTCTGGCCATTTCCTTCTGTCATCTTTTAATCTTTTTGTCTGAATTTTGTTCTTTTACCTGAAATACCGTTCACTATTTCCATTGTGCCTAATGAGACTCTATTTCAATCTTTTCTCTACCACCACATTCCAGTCACACTAGATACTTGTGATTCTGGAGGATTGTAAGGGGATCATGTGTTTCCAACCTGACATTTTTCACAATACCTAGCTCTCGGTAGAAATATAAGGAAATGGTGTTCAGAAATACTTGTGGAATTGAATGAAATCAAATACACAGAAAAGAAGATTCAACACATCCATAATGTGGGTGTTATAATTGTGTTTGGTAGGATAAGTTCATTTGAAGAGCATTGATACAGAGGTTTATTTGAAAGTTTCCCTTTCAGCTGTTGGGTCATTTCCTCTCTTTGTTTCTTGGCCATCATCTCAGCCTCTTTTTAGGTCCTACTCTCCATCTGCATGACTACCATAAGTGGTAATATTTTTTAAGATTTTATTCTTGGACATCTCACTGTGCATCTTCCTCTATATGATTCTCTTCACCTCCTTGGCTTGAATTACCTCCCATGTGTATGCTGGCTTTCAGCCACGTATCTCTAGTGTAAATCTCCTCTTAGCTTCCCTTCTATATGTCCTGGTTACAAATGAAGGAAGAAAAGGATAAAGGGGAGGGATGGTCATTGGCAACAGCTCCCCTTCTGAGAGATTTCTTCTACTTTTCTCTCATGTACGTGGAACTAACACAACTTGCATTTCCCAGCGCAACTCCTAACTTATGATCTCTTGCCTGACTTCCCTGGTCCACTCTTTATGGACATCAAACAGTTCATTCACTCAAGGTCTACCCCTTGCCTTGTAAACACTTAGCACTCTACACCCTGTCCAAGTAAATGCTCAGTAAATGTTAATTAGTTGCCATTAGTGATTTGCTGTTCTGCATGCTAAGCAGAATCTTTCCTTGGGGATCTTCCTACTGCCTTTGTGAAATTGTTGATAGCCATAAAAATTTCACAGTTCTTCTGAGAAAGCTCCACTGTCTTAGACAAAGGTATTTTTCTCCCCCAAATCTGTAATTATTATGGATTTATTATCCTACAATTGTTATAGGAAGAGAGACAGTGCTTTTTTTTTCATGTAGCTACATCATTTAACCCCTTGAAAATATATTAATTCTAATGTAATCCAAAACTAGAGTAAGTGTCTGCTGGTTTTAAAAAATATTCTAAAATATAATTTTCACAGAAGGCAAGTTACAAATTCCCTGTCTGATAGCTAGTCATATCTTTATTACAGAGATTATTAAACTGAGGGAGTTGACCAAAAACTTTGGAGCCATTCATAATCACTGACATTGTTAATGAAACATTTCAGGATATTGTGATCTTTAAGGACTCAATATTATATAAATACAATGCATTAATTTTCCAACTCAGTTTTAAATTTCATAAAATATCTGCTGAGTAGAGTAATTGCCTGATTGTCATTTATAAGCTTACACATAATCTAATTTAAAAGAACTAATTGTAGTAGAATGTTATACTTGTTTAATAACTTAAGGTGTGAGGGCAAGAACAGTTAATGCAAATGGAGAAAATTGGACATCAAACTCATTTTCTATTCTCCTTGCTCTATTAATCTGTTACCCACTGGCATAATCAGTGATCTAACTTGGTTTAATTACCATGAAGTCTACAATTCAGCTAATCAAAATTTATCATGAGTTCTTCCAACAAAATAGAAAACATTTTATAATTTTGTAATTATGAAAATACATGATGTACAATGTTGTTTGTACACATGCATAAACATTACAATAGTGCAATTTCTTTGAGGGAAAAGTACAGTACTATCACTTTTAATCTGACCTCTGGGCTAAGTACAATTTAAGAAAAAGATAGTCATTTTTGAGAGCAAGAGAGCTATTGCTCGATGATTTTTTTTCTTGGATATTTAGCTTGCTTTAGCATTGTAAGTGACATTCATACAGTCTTAAATATGATTTTAGAGACTGTGCAAAAATACATATAAAAGAAATTTTGTAATTACTGAGATTGTAAAAATAGGAAATAATAAGAACTACTTCTTGGAAAAAAAAAAACTGAATTTTTTATTTCTCCTCAGCTCCGTAAGGCTATTATAGATCATGTGTCAGACTCCTTTTTGGATACGACAGTCCCACTTTTGGTTCTCATTGAAGCTGCCAAGAATGGCCGGGAAAAGGAAATAAAAGAATATGCTGCAATATTTCGTGAACACACCAGCAGGCTTGTAGAGGTGAGTGTGCTAGAACTGTTACTACTCTAAATCCAGGAGAATAGGGCTCATTCTGCATTTATAGCTGAATTGGATTCAAATAAAAACTTTTGTCCGCTTATAGCAAATGAAGCAGAGTTGGGCCAAAGTACTATGAAGGTATGTATGTCAAATTGTATAAACTATCCCCCAATGGCTTGGAAAAGGAGCAAGTTATTTAGAAAGAATTATGAAAATATCGATATATTTTCTTAATGTGTATTTTTTTCAGAGCTACACACACACATACACAAACCTGGTTAAACACAGGTTTTATCCTTACAAATACTTTCTTCCTATTCTAACTTAAAAGTATTAGATGCTTTCTCTCATGCCACTTTATTGTTTCTCTCCCATCTTTTCATGGTTGTTACTCCTTCAGCCTTTCAAATCATATTCAACTATGAAACATGACTATAGGACGTGAATGTAGGGTATACAGGGATAGAGAAACACAGAATAATTAAGTAGGGATAGTGGATTTGTCCATGTCCCGGTAGAGGCAAGAGGAGATGATAAAACTAATTTTCTCCTGCTTGGAAACTGGAAACATGGAAATGCCCCATGATTTGGGGGGCAGGGGGGCATATTGCTGAAGGAGCTATGAAGTGCTGGGCTATTCCTAGAAGACAGGTAGTGGAATTTACCGTCTTATGGACATCAATAATACAACCACGGTATAAGAGAAAGCCTGAATGGAAGAATTCCTAACCCCAGTAAAGTGACAGTACTCGCAAGTCCAGGAGTACTGGAAGGAAGGGGAAAATGTGGTTGACCAGATCCTTGTACTAGAGCGATACACTGCTGGTACCCATCAGTGTGACTCTATCAGTTGTTTATGGCTTGTGTCAGTACTCATTGTCAGTGCTATGTGCTATGGTGATTATTAAATGTTCTATGCCTGTGCTATGCTGATTATTAAATGTTTTGACTGCCACACCTTCCTTATATAGGCCATGAATTCTGTGATGAAATATGTGTTTGGGGGCCCAAATTGCTTGTAAAACTTGTGTTAGAAATAGTCCCCACTTGAATTAGAAATGTTGTATAGTAAACGTTCTATACGATGTTTACTAAAGTAGAGGACTTTTCCAACATCTTTAATGTGGATCAACTGGGAAGGAAGTTTCCGAAGTAGCTAGCACTTCCGCTGGGTCCCAGCCTTCACATCTAGAAAATAAGAGTGGATAGATAGATGGTTGCTAAGATATAATTTCAGCCCTGAAACTGCCCCACCTACGACTTTGAAATCTTTGAACTTGCCAAGAACTCTGTGAGACAGGGCAGCTGATGTAATTCCCATTGGCCTTACGTGGAAATAAAAATACAAAACCTAAAACAAGCTAATGAGAGTCGAAGCTGATTTCCAGGTTTACCGTGTTTAAATAATTAATTCAGCTATTTATTACTTGTTTTATTTATTCCTTCTTGTACTCATTCCTCAAATATTTACTAACTATTCCCAAAGGAAAATGTTAAAAGTTAAAAGAGAGCAGAACAGAGGAGCAGGTCATTAAAGGCACTTAACTAAGTGTGGCTCCTAAATATCATAAATCTTTTGTCTAGAAATGTGTTTTCTAAGCTGAAGGAACACCAAATTATGAAAATAACTTTTTTGGTGAAATAGTCTGAAAGTAAAAGTTGGTTTGTGCTAATAACGTTGGATCCTTATTCCTATTTTTCAGTTTAGTTTCTAATGAAACATAAATCTCATGAGGTGCTCAATAAAGGATTCCTTGATCCCACGATTTTGGGGAAAAAGTTCTATTTCTCCTCTTGGAGATTTTACGTATCTGAAAAATCCAGATATAAAGAATTCTCTTTAAGTCAGAATTTCCTCAAATCAATTTATCTAAAGTTCTCTTTCTTTCATGATGCTTATTAGTAAGGCACTGCCTTCCAGAAACACTTGAGAATACTACCTTATTTTATTACCAAATGACAGTTTATTGCTATGTAGATAGAGCTCTAAGAATCTATTTTAAATGTTTAAGGATTTTGAAAATTCTGTAGTTCATGTGAATATGAAACAATAACAGATTTTGGAATTTTGAGCTACTAGGGGACTGAGAATGGGTCTTATTTAACTCTTGGTTCCCTTAACACATTATAATGAGATTATGCTGGCTTTGGAGTCTTCCAGTTCTCACTCTGATATTACTCAGAAACTTGTCTTCAGTTCCAGTAAGCTTTTACTAGTTAACAAACCATCCCCAAACTTAGTGCTTAGAATAATCATTTATTATTCTCTTACTGATCTGCAGGTTGACTGAGCAGAGCTGGGCAGTTCTCATGTAGGGTCTCTTTCATGTGCTGGTTGTCAAATACTGGCTGGGGATGGAACCCTTCAAAGGTTTGATTTGGCTAGACAAGCAAGATGGTACATTCACATGATTGAAAGTGCATGCTAGCTGTCAGCTGGGAGCTTAGCTGTGATTGTCAACTGGAGCACCAGCCAATAAATACATGGCCTTTCCATGTGGCTTCAGCTTCTCAGAGCGTAGTTTCTGAGTTCTGAGATGAGAAGTCCCAAGAGCAAGCCAGAAACAGGAAGTAGAGCTGACATTCTCTTAAGGCCTGGGCCCAGCAATTGGCAGAGTACAGCTTCCGCTGTACTTTATTGATCAAAGCAACCACTGAGCCTGCCCAAACACAAGGAGAGAAGAGGCAGCAGGAGACTCCACGTCTCACTGGAAGGAGCAGCAGAGTATTTGTGGCCACCTTTAATTTACACGTCTCTTCTTAGGGCTTCATTTGCTTTAGCTGTAAAGTGAAGGTTAAACAAGATAATGTCTAAGGTCACTACCAGTTTCTAAAATTTTAAGATCTGAGAAATACTTGTTACAGTTGAAAGACTCCTAGCTCTCTAAGAGATATAGACATAGGAGAAAATGAAAATGGTTTTTAAGTATACTGCTCAAACACTAGGTTGTTTATATATATCAAGAAGGAAAAAAAAGAAGGCTGCATTTATGTCCCAGGAAAATTCTTTTTTTAATTAATTAATTAATTAATTGTTTTACATCTTTATTGGGGTATAATTGCTTTACAATGGTGTGTTAGTTTCTGCTTTATAACAAAGTGAATCAGTTATACATATACATATGTTCCCATATGTCTTCCCTCTTGCATCTCCCTCCCTCCCACTCTCCCTATCCCTCCCCTCCAGGCTAGGAAAATTCTTTTTTTGAAAGGAGCTGTCTAACCAAAGCAAGAGAGAAAATCATCATTAATTTACTACAAACATTGAGATAGAAGTGTCTGGGGCAGAGTCTGAGGAAATAAGAGAACTAAAATATATCAGTTTCAGAGGACGTTGTGAGTTCACTTTGTATGGATTGGTTACCAGTCTTCCACGTCCCTTTTCCTAACCACCCCCCTACACAGACAAGCACATATACCCATCTTATTCCCAAGCTGGGTTATTTGACATAGCAGCGCAGATTCGATACTAAATGACTTCAAGAAAAAGCTATTTTCAATGTGTTTGGGTTTTGATACCTCAACTATGTTTGTCAGAGAAATTTAAAATCTAAAAGTGAACTTGTTGAAGTAAGACATAAGTGGGAAAAAAAAAGTCTATTTTTAAAGAATTCCTATCAGATCTTTGAAGAAAAAGTCCATGCTGTTAAAGGAATGCTTTAGATAATGGTTAACTTGTAACTTTTACGAAAGGGATAGTAAAAAGTCGAACTGAACACAAAGCAAAATCACAAAGCCTTAAGAAATTCTGTGAGTAATAATTAGAAGACAAAAAGGATTTGGAGTATTGGTGAAAGAAATGAGAATGAGGAAAAAAGTGGCCAATAAATCGGGCCTGAACATTCCCATTCTCTAGTGAAGTCATGTCTATTTTATTACCATGTAGTAAGTTTAACATAAAGTGACCATGGGTGAAATGATGGTTATAAAACCCTGGGCAGTACCAATAACTGGAGAACTTACATCCTTGTGGCTAATTTTATTTTACTTATGTTGAATTAAGTAACTGTTATGCAAAGCTTTTCCTACTTTGAACATCCAAGTTAGTCTGTGTTTTTGGATCCACCAAGGCACAGTAAGAATGAGACGCAGGAGTCGAGGTTGGCCTTTTAAAAATTAAGCTCACATAGTGATTAGCAATTAATGACAATTAGCAATTAATGTGCTTATTGAATTGTGCTCCCCAGTACTTTGATGTTGCACTGATGGTGTCTTAGGGCACCGTTAACTCTACTGGTTTCCACCAATAATATCTATTAAACAAGAAGTTTAAAATATTAATTTTATCTTAACAAGAAAAACATTCAGTAATTCTAGAGGGTAAGGATTTTATTTTTTATCGCTTTAAGCTTCCTCTCATAGCAAAGTCTATAAGCTAGTTCTCAATAGATCTGTCTTAAATGAAGAAACACATTCATAACACTCGCTCAGTTTTCTTCCTCTCTAAAAAGTTGACTCTGAGGATACCAGTAACTGGACTTGACATATATGCCTGATCCCAATTATTTGAGTACCTCCCTACTCTGTTGTACAAAGATACTTTAAAATAATACTACACAATGATATTAGCAAATGGCTTTGCCATTAGTTATCAAAAGCAGACAGACACTATAAACCCTGCTCTAGATCTCCTTCAGAAGGAGTTTGTGACAATTTGATAACATCTTTAAAGAACTTTGCCCACTTCAGAGATAAAGTTTGTAGCTTTAATGTGGTAATGTAACTATTATTCAGAAGAATGCCATTATATATTCAATAAAGACATTGTTTTTATAATGGCTATTAAATATTTCTCTAAAATTAATTTTTAAAAACCCCACTATTATTTCTGAATCATATTACGATTTGTTCTCAGCAAGTCAATTCATGTTGAACACTACAGTTGCTACCAATTAAATGATAAAATCTCCTGTTTGTTCCATGGATTTTATCATATTAATTATTATTAAGCCTGCCAGTGTTAATGATCAAGACCTGGAAATTTCCTGTGAATTAGTGAA